ATTTACGTGATTTTGATATTATATTATATTTTAATTAAAAATAATAATTATAAAAAATATGTTTTAACAAGATGCAATGCGTTTTGTTGACAGTCCATTTTCATGTATTGTTGTAAATTGAAGGCATGTGAGAGGCACATGCCATTTTCCATCCAACTTAACGGAAAAAATTTAACGGCGAACCAATTCTGTAAAAAAAATGGCATGATTAAGGGCTTCTATTGTAACTCCAAAATGTTTAGGGACAGTTTTGAAAAAGTGAGTAAAGTAGGGATAATTACACTTTTGGTCCCTCATGTTTGCCCCGATTTCATTTTTGGTCCCCCTTGTTCCAAAGTGAACAAAGTTCACCTCCAAGTTTCAATTTTAAACACATTTGGTCCCCCCCGTTACATATCCGTTAGCAAGTAACGGAAAACACTATTTTGGGGTAAAATTGAAATTTTAAAATCTTTTGGGGCTGAAAATAATTATAAATTTAAAATTGACGAAACAAATTATTTTTTAATATACTTAATATTATTATAATTATGCTACTTGTAATTAATTTTTTAATAATTAAAAACTTAACTAAACAATAGTTTTTAATTAAACTTAATATTATTATAATTGTACTACTTATAATTAACTTTTTAATAATAAAAAATAAAATAACGAAACAATTTATTTTTAATTATACTTAATAGTATTTTTCATTATACTACTTATAATAAAAAAAAATTAGCTAAACAAATCATGTATAATTATACTTAATATTATTATAATTATACTACTTATAATTAAGTTTTTAATAATAAAAAAGAAATTAACTAAATAAATTATTGTGAATTATACTTAATATTAGTTTTCATTATACTATCTATGATTATTTTTTAATAATAAAAAAAGAAATTAACTAAATAAATTTCATTATACTTAATATTATTAAAAGTTTAATTATAAGTAGTCTATTTTAAATTTTTAATTATTTTTCAGCCCCAAAAAAATTTAAAAATATAATTTTCGCCCCAAAATAGTGTTTTCCGTTACTTGCTAACGGACATGTGACGGCGGGGACCAAAAGTGTCCAAAATTGAAATATGGAGGTGAACTTTGTTCACTTTGAAACAAGGGGGACCAAAAGTGAAATCGGGCCAAACATGAGGGACCAAAAGTGTAATTATCCCGAGTAAAGTATGAGGATGAAAAATGTAATTTTTCCTGTTGAGGTGCAAATAGACATGACCACGGGCCGGGTCTGACCCGGACCCGACCCGTTGACTGCCCCGACCCGCCCCGGCCCCGGCCCGTTGACCATGGACCCGGACCCGACCATGTACGGGTCGGTTTCGGGTCCCGAATACTTGGACCCGAGACCCGCCGGGTCTACCCGGCGGGGGGACCCGGAGACCCGGGGCGTCGGGTCCACGGGTATTTTTAATGAATAATCATCAAAAATGCAGGTTCTGGGGTTCGAACCCGGGTGGCCCAAGTGAATTAGTGTGCACTAACCACTCGGGCAAAGTTACTTATTGCAATGTTACTCCTAACTATAAATATATAATTATAATTAATACTATAAAATAATTATAACAATTGAATAACTAATGTTAATAAATTATTAATTGTGAGGTTCATTATCTTTAATATTAAAAATCTCCCCTAATATCAAATACATATATATTTAAAAATCTCCCCTAATAACAAATGCATATATGAATAATTACGATTTAATTTAAAAGAAAGATTGAATTTTGATTTTTTTTTTTAATTTTGAAATTATGAAAAAGTTTCTCATATTAATTATTATTAAATAATTTTAATTAAATAATTAACAAATGCAATATAAGAAACTTTTAAAAAAATATATAGAATCACGGTTCAATACATCAAAACATCTATTATTAATTACTATATCAATGTAATCTCCACTATTGAAAAATATAAAGCATTGAATCAATTCAATATATAAACAAATGCGTTGACTTATTACAAATTCACTTATGTTATTAAAATCGATAGTGTGAAAAAATCGAATGAAAAATAAAATAATATGTTTATTTAAAAAAAATAGATTATAACTCATTTCAATTAATTTAAATCGATTAACCTCAGTTGTTGACAAGAACTTATTAATATTATTGAGTATCTTATCATAAGATGATTATTTAAAAATATAAATCTCGACTAGTAACAAATTTAAACCGATTAACCTCAATTGTTGACAAGAACTTATTAATATTTATAAATTATTAATTTTCATGTTGACTATTATTACTATCAAAAATCTCGACTTGTAACAAATGCATATATATTTAATTTTGAAAAATATAAAAAAAATACGATTTAATTTAAAAGAAAGATTGAATTTTGATATTTTTGAATTTTGAAATTTTGAAAAATTTCTCACTTATTACTTTCACTTATAAATACCCATAATTCAATCTTCACAACTTTAATTTTATTTAGTTTACGTCTCAAAGTCTTAATCGTTTCATTTTTTTCTAAAAATTTTTAGTGTTTAAATTCAATTATTATTTTTATTTTGAATTTAAAGTTAATATCATGTTTTTTCAAGTTTCAATATAAGTTTTTTTTTCTTTTTTATTAAAAAAAAATATATATATATATATATATTGAAAAACCGGGTGGACCCGGACCCGACCCGGACCCGGACCGGACCCGAATGGACCCGCCCCAGACCCGGACCCGCCTCCCCGCGGGTCGGTTTCGGGTCCCCGAAAAGTCGGACCCGGACCCGGCCCGTGGCCATGTCTAGGTGCAAACAATGTCCCACATCGGTTTAATATGAGAAAGATCTATGGTTTATAAGGAGGGGATAGTAACTCCATTGGAATGAGGCCTTTTGGGGAAACCCAAGAGCAAAACCAGTTGAGCCCGGTCCAGCGCCCGGCCCAATCTGGACAATAGTATACCAATGTGGAGTTTATGTTATCCCGTCGGGGCCCAACACTCCATTTCTCGGAGCTTCTCCAGAAGCTTGCCGCCGATGAGTTGTGGTGGAGGTGGCGCTGGAATATTCCGCCGTCTTCGGGGCCCACCGATGAGTTGTGGTGGAGGTGTTGCTAGAATATTCCGCTGTCTCCGGGGTCGGGGGTGAGTTTTTTAATACTATATATATATTTTCTTTTGTTTGTGAAAATTAAATATTATTCAACTTTTTTATACTTAATATTATAAAAAAATACAAATAGTACTTTAAATTTATAATTGTTTTGTAGCCCCACAACAATATCAAATTTCATTTTTACCCCGGAAATAGTGTTTTCTATTAGTTTCTACCGTCCATGTGACGGAGTGGACGAAAAGTGTACAAAATGGAAACATAGAGGTGAACTTTGTTCACTTTGGAACAAGGGCGACCAAAAGTGGAATCGGCCCAAACATGAATAACCAAAAGTGTAATTATCCCTACAAATTAGGGTGAACTTCATTTTATTGGGATTTTTCAAAAAATATTATTAGGATTGTTTTTTTTAAATAAAGTGATCCGGACAGATTTGTAGAGCCCAATAAAGCAAGGCCCAATCGAGATGGCCCACACTCCAGGAGGAGATAAGACCACATGGGATCTGGGCTTATTTGCCCATTTCATCGGATCTTTATAAATGGCCCAAAACATTGAGCCCACAAGAGTATGCTCAAAGAATATAATACATTGTCAGTAGAGACGAACAAGGAGACCGGCGACGAGCTGGAGAATTGAGAGCTCTTCGACGAGCTGGAGACCTCTAAACGAGCTAAAGATAGCTCACGAATGCCAAGTGCCGAGTGCCGAGCCCCGAGCGACGAGCCGACGAGCACCGAGTGACGAGTGTCGAGCCCCAGGCGACGAGCCGACGAGCACCGAGTGACGAGTATCGAGCGCCGAGCGACGAGCCGACGAGCACCGAGTGACGAGTGTCGAGCGCCGAACGACGAGTGCCGAATGTCGAGGGGCAAGCGACGAGCTGAAGGTGTCACCTCATGACTTAAACACTAAGGCATATAAATTAAATATCTTCATAACTTAACCACTAAGACTCATAAAGTTTCATGGACATCAAACGACTCTATTAACCGAATTGGATAAAATGAATGACATCCGAAAATACTCTTCTATAAATAGAGGGTTCATCACCCTCAAGGTAAGCATTCTGAATCTCAACATACCATTTTCTCTCGAATATATTTATCTCTGAATCTTTGAGGTGTTCTAACTTGGGCGTCGGAGTGCTAACGTCGGGAGCACCTCTCCCGGCCCCTTTTGCAGGTTCGTGACGAATAGGCCTAACACGGAACGGACTCGAAGATTCGAGATTCCTTGAAGCGGAAAAACCCAACCGCATCATACCGCATCATAAAGGAAAGTGATGTTTTAACCAATCAAATATAATCCAAATAAATCTAATTATGAATACAAAAGTTTCAATAATCAATTTATAAAACAACACAACAACTTTTAACGTACATATCTAAAAGGGAATTTATAATTTGCAATTAGATGCGGAGGTTTTTGCAAAATCTACCTTTGTGTAATCTCTAATTGCTAAAAACTCCATCGTGTTAAAATAATTAGCAAAGACCCCCCTATGATAATAAGTCAAAGCCAAAAAAAAAACCTTAACAACTCATCGTATAATGCACGCGCGAATTGTGCGACTAGGAGTGTGTTTTTTTACTTGAAAAATTGAAAATACCCTCTGATTTCTTTTGTAAAAAAGAAAAAGGAACATCCTATTTGATTTAAATATAAATAATACACAACTTTGGATCAAATTGCAATTTTTAAAATTTCTTAAATAAAGAAAAGTAACACGAAAAAGAAAAATGAAAAAAAAGAAGAGAGAAAAAAATTACTTTCTTCCCCAAAATTATTCTTTTCCCCCATAAAAATCACCACCACGGCCACCAGCAAACCCACTACCACCACCGCCAATCACCTCGTCAAGCATCCACCTCCAAACAGAGAGAAAAAACATGTCTCCAACAATATTCTTCTTCACGCCGCCGCCGCTACCATTTCCTTCCACCACCCGTCTCCTCCCAGACACCTGACCCTCCACCGCCAAATTTTCGAAATCCCCGCCCCACCCAAAAGAATTAATCTAGATCAAAAAACATTAATTATTCCAAGAAATATTATGAGAATTCAATTATTAATTAGGAATCGTAAAACATTCAGTCAATGGAAGAATAAACCATAACAAATTATCAATGGTCTATGCAATATAAAAAAAACATCAAACTAAAAGCTAAAAACAAGTAGTCATCACTATATATAATATATATATATTGGAAATCTATTTTCATAAACACTTTTGAGTAGAGGATAACGATTTCCATGCACCGGCGTATTTGGATCTTACTTACAGATTTCCAGGGCTGAAATCGAGATAATAAGGGAACAAATTTCCGTCGTCGTCGTACAAAAGACGATCTACAGCAGCAGTCAGATCATTATCCAGAACGACGTCTTGATGATTTACATGAGCCATCAGATTATCCGAAAAGACGTGTTGATGATTTTCATGAGCCATCGGATTATCCGAAATGACGTGTTGATGATTTACATGAGCCATCGGATTATCCGAAAAGACGTGTTGATGATTTTCATGAGTCATCGGATTATCCGAAAAGACGTGTTGATGATTTTCATGAGCCATCGGATTATCCGAAATGACGTGTTGATGATTTACATGAGCCATCGGATTATCCGAAAAGACGTGTTGATGATTTTCATGAGTCATCGGATTATCCGAAAAGACGTGTTGATGATTTTCATGAGCCATCGGATTATCCGAAATGACGTGTTGATGATTTTCATGAGCCATCTGATTATCCGAAAAGACGTGTTGATGATTTTCATGAGCCATCGGATTATCCGAAATGACGTGTTGATGATTTTCATGAGCCATCGGATTATCCGAAATGACGTCTTGATTTCCGTAGAGATGATGATTAATAAGAGGCGTCGTCAGATCATTGTCGAGCATCGGATGTTGGTTCTGAAACGAAGCTCCGTAAGCAGTCTGATTACTATTATTATTACCGCCGGGCAAGAAACGAGAATATGGAACTAGAGCTGCGCTATTCGTAAAGACGCGCTGATTTTGGTAGAGATGGTAATTTACGATACGCGTCAGATCATTGTCGGGCAACGGGTGTTGTTGATTCTGAAATGGAGCTCCATCTGCGTAAGCGTGATTATCGGACGAGCCAGACATAAATTTGACAAAGCTGTCCAGCTTCGCAAGTGCCGTTGCAATGTCGTCACTGCGAGACAGCCGGTTGGAAGATTGTGGAACGAGACTGTCGAAACCATCCGTACAGTAATCAATCATTTGCGACTGATTAATAATATTACGACCGTGATTGTCGTTGCTGTCGGGATTCAAGAACGCAGACATGATTTGCAGTTGCTCTTCCGTTAGGGGAGCTATCTCGTCGTCCAATTCATGGTTTCTTGCTCCCGTGTTTGTGCATTGGAGGTTAGCTGTTACAAAATCAAGAAACAGTGATACAACGTCATTTGATTTTGACTTTGGTCAACCCCAACTTACGATTTCGAATTGGTATTTTGAGGTCGATTTATGTAAATCAAATATCCAGATTCTACATGCATATGACATTAATATCTAATTATATGTGGTTTCAATGATTTATAATATTACAAATTTGTTTATCTATTAAGTTCTCTAAGTACTTAAATTTGATTTATTCTATTATATTACAATTAATTGAAATGGATATTAAAGTGTGGCTTTAACTTTGATATATACATACATACCAGTTGCAGCTAGATTTGGGCAAATATGAGGAGGTCCTCCGCTTGGTGGTGCGGGATAAGTATAGTGCGCCTGCGGATGTGGTGCAGGATAAGTATAGTGCGCCTGCGGCTGAAACTCGTTGCGATTGAAATGCGATCTTGAAATTGCAAAGCACTGCAAGTCTTCTGATCTGAAAATAGGACTATCATGGCTTGGGAACGGTTTTCGACTCAAATCAACGAGCTTCTTATGACACTGTAAGAGCTTTTCGTAGTGTATCTCAAGTACTCCCGGTGGAAAACACACACTATGTGTCCTAATCAATTAATCGAAAACAACAAAACAAAACATTGAATCAAAAACTAACTCGAACGAACAACCTCACATATATTAATTGACGCAAACGAAACACCAAACAAATATATATATATACAGACATACAGTAGAATCTCGATAAATTAATAACCTCGCTTAAATAATAGTTTCTTCTGGTCCCGACTCGGTAAAAACCAACTAAAATATTAGTTCCCGACTGTATTAATTTATAAATGTTTGAATGTATATATGTATGTATGTATATATATATATATACCTCCAAGTAGTGGCATTACCGCCGGTGAAATCATCCCCCGGTAGCCAAATGGTATGCTTTCTCGCCTGAGGATTCGTTTCATTGAAGAACAAAGGCGGCTTATCCAACTGCACAAATCGGCAACATCATGAAAAAACAATTTTTTTTTTTAGGAAAAAGTAATCAAATGCTATAAAAAAAAATCGACCTCGATTTTCAAAATCCCGGGCTGATTCGGATGCATGACGGCATGAATAGAGGTAATATCGTTCCACTGTATTTGCATCTTCCGCTTCAACGGGCCCTCGAGAATCTCCCATATTAGTTGCTGCTTGGCGTAGTACAATTTGGCGACCAAATGTCCGTCGTGAACCGAAACCCTACGCCAATCTCCGATTTTTAAGGAGGCTATGCGGAAACTCGAAGCCTTTAATTTCTCATGAAGCAAAGGTTGTTTAGATAAAAACTTTGTTTCAGGCAAAGAAGACTCAAATGATGGTGTTTTGACCAGCGTCAACCCCACGCGCCATCTCCTTTGCGGAAAAATAGCCATTTTCGTTTTCTGATCAGATTTTCACAAATCGAAACATTAAAAAATAAACAATTCGCAATTCTATTGGAATTTCTTGGAATTATTCACAATTCATATGATCAATATCACCCTAAGAATAAATATTATTTAAATTTTCACGTGTTTTTATTTTGTTGCCGATGATACTACAAAGTCCACGGTTCACCGGAGCGGAGGCCGCCGGCGACAAAGTTCCGGCAATATAGCGGCTGTGGCGTGTTCTAAAATCTAAAAGAAACGGTTTATCAGCCGGGCAGAAATGGAATAATTAGGGCTGGTGGCGGCAGACGATTTTATATTAGTTCTGATTTCACTTAAGTTTTCAAATATTTCAACTTAGTCCCTAAATTTTATGATTTCTATTAAAATAAAAGAGATGTAATATCAATGGTTTCCAATTTAGTCGGTTAGTCGAGTAATATCAGCATGCCGAGTTTTTTAATAATAAAAATTTATTATAAATATTTAATTGTAATTCTTATTTACTTAATGTTCAATAAATATATATAAAATAAGTCAAAACTCAAAAACTGAAAACATAAATTTATAAACCTCTTTGTAATATTTCTATTTTATTATTTCATATTCTTTACTATATATTTACTGTTTGTATAAGTTAAATTAAAAAAATTAAAGTTACGATTTTTGCAACATAAAACTTTCGCAAAATTTTGAATATCTTCTGAAAAATCACTTAAAATTAAAAAATAAATCAATAAATAGATGGTCGATAATACCAACCAACGGACCCAATGTTTACCCGACAAAATTGTTGTCAACCATTATCCAACCCATAAAGGTCGGGTCTGTAATGGTTTTCAATATTTAGCAAAATCAGTTGGTCTGATCAGGTAGGTAATTGGTCGATAATTGTCCAACCCCGACCAATCCCCGGCCCCCAGTAACTTATTATAATTTTAAATATATTTTTAGCATTTTAATTAAAATGTGTCCGTTACGGCCGCTAAATCCCCGTGATGTTACATTTTATCTGGAATAATGGTCTCCGCAACAAACGTTTTATTTTATATATATTCATATATCAAAAAATATGTATAAGATACATAAAATTTATAAAAATATTGAATTATTATAAATACTTTTAAGTATAAATTTGTATCAATTAGCATAATTCTATAGCTTTAGCCTTTTATATGAATTTTATAAATACTTATTTGCTGAAATTTGTAAACATTGTTTTAGAAACTTATATGTTACATATAAGTCATTCATTATAATATTTTTAGAAAAAACTCAAAAAGTATAATACTCATTTTAATATTTTAATTTGAAAAAGAATTTATTTTATTATTATATTGCTAGATTTCTCAAAACTTGTCCGTTCCAAATGCGAAATCATCGCAATATTGCAATGGAACTGGAACGGCACTACCGTTCCATGAACCATGCTACAAACTGCTCCCACAAACCAAACTTAATATTTGTACATACCAAAACAGAAAACACGAAAAACATATTCGATGAAACATGATAAACAACGAGCTGCATAACATGTGAAAAGCGTATATATAATTATATATTACTATTTGGCAAAAAGAAAAACAAAAAACAAAAAATGTAACAACCTGATTCTTTCGGTGAATTTTGAAACTTTTTATTTATGGTTTTCTTGATAGATCAACGACTAATGTGAACCATACTGATGTAACGAATTCACAAGTCACAAACATAAATCTCTATGGAAAAAAAAAAAGAGAAGGAAAAAGAGATGAAACGAAGAACCTGAGGAGGTGAAATTACTCTTCTTCCTTTTTCATCAACATACAATTTATATGCTACTTCATCTTCTCTCTCACCTTGCTAAAACCACACACACACACACCTGAAGGCTGAACTTTATAACCCAAACCTAGTAGAGAGAGAGAGAGAGAGAGAGAGAGAGAGAGAGAGAGAGAGAGAGAGAGAGAGGAGAGAAGAGACGGACAGGAGAGAGAAACCAAAACCTAGTAGAGAGATGCAAAATTTCAACCAATGATGAAGAAGTAGATGCTACAAAGGACTCTCTTTTTTGGCGCGCCCCGTTATTTCCAAAATCATGAAAACTCTTTCTTAAAGTTTGGCGGGAATAAAAGAAGGAAAATAGTGTCCTTAATTTTTTATTAATTGTTTTTTTTTTTTAGAAGAAATAGGTTTTCCGCCCATGTGAGTTATAATTTGAAACATTTGAATTAGGGGTGAAAGATGGGATGGAATTTCCAATTTTCGCTGATTTCAATCAGAAATTTTGGAACAATGATCTTTTTTTTCTTCAGATTTTCAAAAACTTCGATTTTTGATTTTTTTTTGGAAATATATATATATATATATATATATATATATATATATATATATATATATATATATATTATATAAGTGAAATTCCAATTATCGATGAAATTTTAATTTTCGTAATATTTTCAGTTTTCCTAAAACTACACCCATAAAATTTTGATTTATTTTAACTAGTAATTGTACCCGTGCGATGCACGGGACAACAAATTGCATTGTTTTGATATTGTAAGAATATAAACAAACGTTTGATGTATCGTATGATCAAAATTCTATTATACTGGAACATTATTAAGTATACTACACACAAAAAAAAGGACATAACTTTACTGTTGAATAATTTTCTAAATGAATTGAATCAGCTAATACCAGTAGATTGAAAATTTAAACCAGGAAAAAAATCATCAATTATGTCTTTCATGTTGAGCTTAAAAGTAATTAGATTTAATAAACTAAGTTAACATAATCAAAACTAAACTATCGACAACATACCATCGTAAAAGGCCATCTATACATCTTGCATCGGAACTAAGCCCTTCTCCACTGCCTCATTTTAAGGCTGTTTTGCCACTGAAATTAACAATTGGAAAATTAAGAAACAAAAATAAATACAAACAATAAATTAAATATCGCATACAAACAATAAGTCTTGAAGGTCGACTTCTAATAGCTTGTGGCTACGCCCATTTTTGGTTAATTTTCTCAAATCATCCCTTTTAATAACATGTCCAATAACATATAAAATGAAATAATTGTTATACATAAAATTTGAAAACTTTGGTATAAATTAATGAAATACATAATTTAACAAAATGAAATTACCTATAAGCCATGATGGAAAAAGATATAAACTAATTGCCACCCAGTCAATAGGATAAAGAAGAAGATAAGAAACAAAATCTAAACTCGGGTTACCAAAAGAAGAAGCCTTAGGTAAGGAAGAAATAAAATTCAAATGTTGCAGACATTCTGTAAAACGATGTCACAAAATCCGCTAGGGATGAAAATCAGATTTATTTACCCTTTTCTGTAAAAATCGAAAATCAGATTATTATAAATAATATCTAGGAGAATTTGATGAAAATCGATAATAATATTTAGGAGATAAAAATTTGATAAAAAAATCAAAAAATAATATTTAGGAGATAAAAATCTGATAAAAATCGAAAATAAAATTTAAAATAATAGTTAGTAGATAAAAATTTGATAAAAAATCGAAAATAATATTTCAAATAATGTTAATGAGATAAAAGTTGATAAAATATGAAAATAATAATTAGAATAATATTTAGGAGATAAAATATGATTAAAATCATTCCGTAATAACTCCAATTCAACATTCATACCACTCCTCGGTATTATGTTGAACCATATAAGTTTCCTTGATTGCTTCAAGCGTATATTGACCAAACTGATGAATTGTATTATAAAGATGTTTAGGTATGTTTCTACATAAATAATCTTTAGCGCATATAAGATCCTTTCCAATTAATAGTTTGATTAAGTTAGGTGTCTCAGAAAAAAGTTGAAAATTATAGTTAAAGAGATATAAATTTGATAAAATTAAAAAAAAATATGATTTATAATAATATTAAGGAGATAAAAATTTGATAAAAATAAAAAATAATATTTAGGAGACAAAAATCTGATAAAAATAAAAAATAATATTTAACATAATATTTAGGGGATACAAATATGATAAAATTCGAAAATAATATTAAGGAGATAAAAATTTGATAAAAATTGAAAAAAAATTACAAATATGACATTAGGGTTTCTTAGGGTTGCCCTAGCGTTTCTTTCTTTTATATATAAGATTAGTGCAAAATTACTTAAATGTTTAATTATATTTGTACGGGAAATTACAGTTTTCATCCCTCGAGTTTGCACCGATTTCATATTTGATCCCCATGTTCACAAAAAACAATATTTGGTCTCTCATGTTTCAATAATTTAACACTTTTGGTCTTTTTTGTCAATTTACCGTTACTCCGTCAGTTAAGGCAGATATGGGCACACGCTTAATTCCATTAGTTTTAACGGGAAACTAATGGAAATGACTAAAAGTATTGAATTTTTGAAACATAGGGAACCAAATGTGTTTTTTGTGAACATGTTGACCAAATGTGAAATCGGTGCAAACTTAAGGGACCAAAACTATATTTTGCCCATATTTGTACTTTTTCTTTTTTGGAGAAAACAAGGATATCATCGGGCACTCTCGGCCAAAATAGTGGGAAGGCTAATTCCTTCCATGGAGTCCAAAGATGAAGACGAAGCTAGACAATGAGCGAGGCTATTGCCTTGTCTCTTTACAAACGAAAAGGTGCAAAACGAAAAACAACTCAAATAAGAAAAACATTCGTCTACGATGGGCCCATATGACTGCAAACTAGGTTCCCGTTTCTGAAGAGCTTTTATCACTGGAAGACAGTAACTTTCCACCGTGATAGCATTCCATTGCCGAAATTTAGCTGTGCGTAGAGCTTGAAGAATGGCATGGGCCTCACGTTCAGATGGGCTCAACCATGCCCAGTACTCGTCGGACTTGCCACCATACACATGTTCCTGTTGCGTTTCGAGCTATCAAGGAGACACGGTGAAATTCTGAGTTTGGTGGGAAGGCCGCATCTACATTGAGTTTAAGAACCCCACTAGGCGGCGGCAGCCATGTTTGCGAGAATTCCGGCCGCCGGACATTGATATTATGTAATTGGGCGTCGCCATATGTCCGGAGATACGCTGCGCACCACCCAACCATGTCCTCCAGATTAATGAAATCTTCTTGGTGAATAATCATATTCCTACGTTCCCACAATTTTC